GCGGGGAACACCAGAAATGGGCTTCACACATTGTACCCATGTGGGGAATCGAACCCGGGTCCTTGTCATGACGAGCAAACGCTTTAACCACTAGGCTACCCCACCGCCCCTGGTAGAACTGAAACTAATGGAACTGTACCATGTTTATTGGTCTCTTATGTAACCATGTTAACAGCCCTGGGAGCACTTCACAGAGCATCTTGGTGTGACCAATGAGTAGCACCACAATGTCCTTTAACTAAGACATCACTGAATTGTAACCTGGAGGCACTGTCATGACAACAGGACAGGGCTTCACACAAGCTCCTCACAGCGATAGTCCGTTCACGGAGCTCTCTATACTATCGCTGCCACCAGTCAAAACTCCCCACTGTGATAGGTGGCAACAACCATGCTTGGAGTTGGAACTCGCAACCGAATGACCGTTATGTTTACAAACAAATGATGACTGTCGTGACCCCGAACTCACTTACCGCTGCTAAATTACTTTCTTTGTCAATTTGAATTTTTATTTCATTAAAAGTATCATCTTTAATTGATATAGAAAGAATGTAAGGGAGAAGATGGTTGATTTTCCATTAGTCTGCAATCTCGAACCAATCTGATTATTAAAACAACGAAGTAAATTCATCTGGAAAACATGGTCAGTCGTAAACCTTTTCAAAATGAACTATGATGGCATTCCCAAAGACATAAACAAAAGTATTAACGTTACTACATATGGGGTTAAAGGGCAAATTTCAAGATTCTTGTAATGGCTGCGCCCACACTGGTGGCAGCGATGTTACAGAGAGTGTAACGAAGGTGTCACGCGCTGGGAAGGAGCTTGGGCTTCACAATAGAAAGGGACACAACCTGAAAATAATGTGTAATTGTACCAATATATTAAAGTTGTGACCCGTATTGACAAAGTGAAGATTGTTCAGTATAACTGCTTGGCAGGATCCTTACTTTATTTGCCAATGAAAGGGGAAGTTAGTGTTGTTTGTTATGTAATGCCGCACTGAGCAATACTCAAGCTGGTGTTTTGAGACATTCATCAGCATGACTCTCTAGATGGTTGCATGAATTGTTTCTCTAAAATGAGTGTTCTTACAAGAAATCAGACTTCATATTTGGGGTAATTTATATTAAAAAGCTAAACCTGTGCAGAAGCAGCAAGATCCCAACAGACAGTGATAGCCGTCAAGAAATCAGAACACGAAAGTATTGTGACTGACCCTCTATGTGGACAACAAGGCCCCTCATTTAAAGATATAAATGCTTAAGAAATGCTTGTAAACATGTAAACTTGGACTGACTTGATAAGTACATATTCCTACACCAGATATTAGTATCACTAACACAATACAAAATGGTAACCATGGTAACTAACCAACATCAAAAGGAACAAAATAGAACACCGAAACAGAAACTACAGGGAAAAAGGTAAAACATAACCATTGATAATACTGTACAGTTATAGTGAGACATCAGTATTTTGATTTTTGCAGTCTGCAATTTACACCAACAACAATGGACTTTACATTACATATACATCATATCATTCATTGGTCTGTGTAGATAGAAGTGTGTTCGGAGTGGTTCCAGTACAGAGGAGGATCTTTCAACATCAAATCTTTCACAATATTTTCTGCAGGTCATCAGCAAAACCAACTGGGATGAAATGATATTGTCGTACTTCTTGCAGTGTGATACTCAGATCCCAACATGCCACATCAAAACTAACAAATACTTAGTTTACTATTGATACTTTCACTGTTTCCAATTGGTTGAATTAAGAGCCAGGGCCCTGTTCCACAAAGCAATTGAAGCGCTACGACTGTTGTAAGAGCCTTAGCGCTACAATCGCTTTGTGGAACAGGTCCCTGAACATTTCCTTAATAAGGTTGGACAATTCATGATACCTGACTAATGATACAATACATGATGCATATATAATATATATCTTCCTTACCTTCTTTGCAAAAGTTTTATTTTTAACAGTGAGTGAGCGAGTATGGTTTTACTAAGCTTTTAGCAGTATTCCAGCAATATCACAGGGGGGGGAGACAGAAATGGGCGTCTCACATTGTACCCATGTTTTTAACAGATTTCCATGATATACTACTCAACTTTTCATAGGGATAATCTGAGAGTCTATGTACAGACTGAAAGCAACAGATTGCTTGGAGATATTGGCATACAAATAGTATCTGACGTTGTCATGGAAGTGGCACATTGAAAGTTTCATGTCAAGTTAAAATAATCCAGGGTACCGTAAACAACGCTTGTCCTCTTAATTAAAGACCACCTCCATGGTTTAGTGGATAGAAAGAGCATCTGCTCAGAGAGCATAATGTTGGTGGTTTGATCGCTGATCGTATCATACCATAAGTTGTTAAAAGATAGTTGTTTCCCTACCCGGTTTTCGGCAAAACGGGGCTTAAACAAGGACTGGTCAGCTCAGAGTCTGTATACTATATCTGAGTGGGGTTTCTATGTTAAACTGTGGCATGGTATCTCAGTGAAATTGCATTATAAAACCGACGCAAGTGTGGACTAGTACAAGCAGCCACACACCTATGCATGCACGTTGCTATACAAGTGCTATAATTTTGAATGCAATGTTAAAACCCCATTTCACCTTACCTAACCTTAGTTGAAAATTTCGCAAGAAATATATCAGTAACCTTTTCAAAAGCCGAATAGTATAGTTATATCTGCATCAAGTCATCACTAGTGCTCAATACACACATCACCTCATTGGACATCACAGACAATACAATGCCAGTCAACAAGCTAGCATTAACGCATTTCTGAGAACATAAACATTTACGTGGCAAAAACCTTCTGTCCGAGGACGGTTCAATGTGAACTTGTTATTACCCTGCAGTCATGTGATGTACAACATATTGTTCTATAAGTCAGATATCATGATATGTATTACCCAAGGCTGTATCATTGCCAGTGTTTACCAAATTTAGGCCAGATTGTTTTTGATTAGATTTTTGGTCCACGAATTCAGGCTGGTAGGACAAAAAAATGAAACATAAAAATGTCCAAATTCAAATATATTTTTTTATTCCCTTTAGGGATATGTGATTTATTGTCATAATTTGTTGTAATCTGATAAATTTTCAACAGTTTGTAGTTATAGTATTTAAAAGAATATATTTATATTGACAGCAACAGTAAATGTGGTGTTTTCAACAGTTTACTTTATTTGGGTTGAAAAACAATTTTGGGGGGGGAAGACAGATTCGTAAGCCAAAAACGTCTGGCCTTACTAGAGTGAGTGAGTGAGTTTGGTTTTACGCCGCTTTTAGCAATATTCCAGCAATATCACGGCAGGGGACACCAGAAATGGGCTTCACACATTGTACCAATGTCGGGATTCGAACCCGGGTCTTCGGCGTGATGAGCGAACGCTTTAACCACTAGGCTACCCGACCGCCCCGGCCTTACTAGACTAAATAGTGGCAACATATAAGGGCACCCCTAAAAAAAACCTTAGAAGTCTTGTGCCATTTTATCATTGCAGTCCTAGTTCTATTCCACCACCATATAATCTCAACAATCTTACTGCTTCCATTAATGGTGCAATATCTGTCTCATCATAGCCACCCCTTCATCTCACATATTCCAGGCTCACCATTCATCAACTCCACTGCAGGCCTTGTGTTCCTTCCAAATATTTTTAACATGTCTTAAAAACAAAGTCACATACACACTCCTCATAACATTCCGCAGCTACTAAAACAGTTTGCAGACACAACTAATGAATCCTTCGTTGATTTTCTTAAAACCTTTAATTCCTTACCTGGGTTCAAAAGGCTTTTGAACTACTTGACTAGTTATCCGTTAACTGGCTAATTATTTCAATGATGAACATAACTATTTTAATCATTAATCAAACATAATATTTGAATAACAATTTTGGTGATTAAGGCTGACATGTTTGATTTGTTTTGCACCCTTCTCAGATTTGCAAAGTAGACACAATTTATGGATAACAACTTCCTTAATTACTGAGAGGGCGACGTTTCGGTATTGATCCTCATACATGATCCTTGACTCTTGATCCCATGACAACGGTATAAGGATCTATACCAAAACATCACCCTCACAGTAATTAAAGAAGTTGTTATCCATAAATAGTGTCTACTTTGTCATCTGTCAACTTCTAAGTAATGCCTATCAAACAATTCTCAGATTTAGTGTTACTGGATACTAAAATATACCACCAGAAGTGATTTCCAAAGATTATTTTTATGAACACGATTATATGTGACGGGTAGCCTTAATCACCTGGTCCCCGTTTAACAAAGCAATCATATTGCTATGACTGTCTCAACTATCATACCTCAACACAGACTTGTGATAGTTGTAGCCCTACGATTGCTTTGTGAATCAGTGCCCTTTACATCCGGTTTGATGAAATGTTAAAATGCCCAAGTACCTTCAGTCATGGGTAGCCTTGTTTCCCAGCGGCGATAACGACTCACAGATCACACAACACAAAGAATGTCAGCATGGTCTGGAGACAAAGCTCAGACATCTTCCCGAGGCAAGAGAGTTAACTCACTATAAAAGTCCCATCTTCCCGAGGCAAGAAAGTTAACTGACTATAAAAGTCCAGTTTCCACCCTTGCCGAACTAGGCTGGTATTATGGAGTTACATTTTGGCTGGACTAACGAGTCTATGCATAGTCCAATCAAAATCGCGCACCGAAATCGAAATCCGGTTCATGAACTGTCATGCAGATTTCAGTCCAATGCAGGATTTGCAAAGCATGTGCACCGCCAACTCGTCAGCAGATATTTTTCCAAATCTTTTCATGTTTTTTATCAAGGTGCTTACGTGATTTGATGCATTTCGTGATGTAAGACCCGTTTCATCACAATAAACAGATCTTGATTATCGATCAGATCGTCCTGACTGGGCGCCACCATTTTGTGTGAAGCAAACGCAAGTGATACGAGGGGTGGAATTTGATTGGTCTATAGGAGATGCTTAGAAGGGACATAACTGGTAATAGCCAGTGGTGGCGCTACGATCAAGCCCAGTTATTCCAGCCTAGTTCGGCAAGGGTAGAAACTGGACTTTTAAAGTCAGTTTACTCTCTTGCCTAGGGAAGATGAGCTCAGACAGCTGAGTTAACTCTAATGACACTCAAAACCATTCGTTATTTGCAGCAACAATAACACCTATTACCACTCATAGGGATAAAGAACTGTTTGTTGTAGCCAACTGCTGCATTTTCAAGGTGTTGTTTATCCAGAACTCTCTTTACTGAAGGTTATACTAAAATACAAATTTAAACCACAAACCATACCTTCCTTCATATATCCGCTGTGACCGTACTACACAAACTGTCAGTGAATTATTGAAATTGTCTCCTGCAATGTGACCTTAAAGCTGTCTGTATGGTAACACAGAGATCTCACACTGATTTCCAGTTATTACACATGTAAACTGTCGAGTAAGTAGAGGACAACATGAACCTCTAAACCATTTGTTCCACACACATTCTTGTAGCCTCCTCTTGCTTTCACAGTAAAATAGCAGTATATTGATATGGAGCTATCAGCATGGGCAGGGAACGGCCTGAAATGGAAAGGAAACATTTATGAATTGAATTAACAAACATTTGTAGGGCTAAAATAAATAATAGTCACCGCCCGCATCATCATAAAGTTTTCCACACGTTTCATTCTTATTTCCATTTGAAAAACAAGCAAAAATATCTTTAAATATTCCAAGTCCAATGGTATTCAAATACTGTATTCCAGTGTTTTACTCATCAAGGAAAACATTTATGCAGGGAGGCCCTTTCCCAGGTTTTTTGGACACAACTGTTTATTTGGTTACAAGACTGTTTATTTGGTTTCATAATAGTTTGAATAACAACAAAACAAAACAAAATCACTGCCCGCCCGTATTATATTTTAAAAAATATTGCCTGAGAACCAATTCTTTTATTTTTTTAAGCCTAGGCTGTGACAAGACCAGGATCACACGTAATATGTATAATCTGAATATAAATAAGTCAAATCTGGACAAAACTGAAAATCAAAGAATATCTGAACACGTTACCATAAACGAAACTGTATGTTACCCTTGGTCCATTGGTCGCAATATACATGGGGTCAATTTAAAAAACGTCGATCAGAGGGGGTATTATTTTTAAAAAGAAGCCAATGAAACGAACACAACAACATTTCTTAATATGTAAGGTCCATGGTGACAGTAGAGCTGTCATTGGCTGCCACTTGTCATGCTTGTTGTTCAGATCTCTGATCTGAATTCCATAATTTGACTGTGGCACTCCACAGCTGACTCACTTCTCCTTGATCAAACCGTAACATGCAAATACTTTTTCTGCAGTTCGTAATCTAGCTAATTATCCATTACTGACTGAAGCTTTACTCTCTGGTAATTAGAGTGAACTTCATGATGTCTAACATCAAAGCTTGATCAAACTTTTACATAATAAAGTTTGTTTGATTGTTGTTTAATGCCGACATCAGCAATATTCCAGATATATGATGGCAGTGTAGATAATAAAGGTCGGACCAGACAATCCAGGCACGATCCATGCCATCGAGGTATGATGACACACAATCATCCATGTTACTGAACCTGACCACCTAATTCGGGATCCCAATGGCGTGGATCGATGCTCATGATGTCAATCACTGGATTGTCTGCTCCAGACTCGATTATTTACAGACCGCCGTCATATAGCTAGAATATTGCTGAGTGTGGCGTTTCACAACAAACAAACAAACAAACCTAATTCGGTCGCCTATCATGACAAGCATTGGTTCCTGGGGTCCTTTTCTACCAGGGACAATGAAAATGTGTAAGATCACTTTAATGCTTTGAACAGTATTTCAGTAGCTGACGCAGGATAACAAATATGTCGACACCTAAACCATGGGTATAGTGCTGACGGACCAAGGATCATGTTTGTGGAAACTCAAACCCACAGTCATCAGATCCAGTCTCAGCCAAGGGGTGAAACTCAGGACAGCAACTTTTATCACCATACTATTGTCACAACAAACAAACAAAGGTAACATATGCTTTACTAGTGTCATGGGCCTTAGAACCTGGGTCACAAGTGCTTGTTATTTCAAAAGTTGACTCAATAACCAAATAGAATATATAGGTTATTCGCTCAGCAACAAGATGTCTATACAGCTAACAAGTCACCAAGAATCAGTGTAGGTGATGGGTGTGAAACTAATGTCTTGAAAACACCATCTACTTTCCAAACCATAATTCACAGAGAGCTGAATCCAAGTTTTCAACATAATAAAGAGCCAGTGTTATTTATTATTAGGCTTAAATAAATAAATTAAATGGTCCTCAGGCAAAGGCTTTTGAAAATAGAGTGTGGGCGGGTGGTGTTATTTTGTTGGGTTTTTTTGTTGTTCAAGCTGGTATGGAACCAAATAAATAGATGTGTAACCACATAAACAGTTGTGGGAAAGGGCCTCCCTACATAAATACATTCCTTGATGAGTAAAATACTGGAATACAGTATTTCACTACAGTTGGACTTGAAATATTTAAGGATTTATGGGAGTTTCTTAAAAACTGAAATAAAAAAGAAACATGCAGTGAACGTTATGATGATGTGGGCGGTGCCTGAGAACCAAGACTATTTTTTTTTTTAGCCTTAACAATCTACTTCAAAATGAAATCTGGTTTTTGGTCCACATCTATTTTTTCTTAATCATGCTCATCGTCAAGACTGTGTCACTGCATACCCAGAAATGATGGAACAGAATGACTAATTAAGACACTACTGTTACCTTTGAAGACAGCTTCGTTGGAGAGGATATGTACACTTCTGTAGAAGGACTGAGGGCAGTAGCTCTTCCTCCTCAGCTGGCCACACTCCTTGCTTCCTGGCTTCCACTCTTTCCTGGAGGAGAAGTTTGCCATCAGTCATGCACTGTCATCAGCAATGAACCACAGCATGGTTTATGTCTATCATGCTCATAGCAAACTCAAAATGTGAGTGTGTGTGAATGTTTAAAGCTTTGTTCAGTGAAAACATTTCTATTGAGATTTAGTTCCTACGTCTTCTGTTGTGTCCAACACAATAAATTTTGTTAACTGCATCATGGAAGGACTCGGATGCTGGTGTTCTTACCCTCTCATGATCTGTTCGTTCATCTCCGTCAGTTCATCTATGTGCAAAGTTGAGTAGTTCCCTGAAACAAGCACAGAGGGGTATTAACAATGTCCAAGGCAAAGGACAGAGAGCACTCATTCATGACACAACCACTTCACCCTTACAAGCGTCAGCATGCTTTGAAGTGTACTTGTGGCAATAACAACAAGTAAGTGAGAAATCTTTACCTTGCAATTCTTCAAATGTCTACTGATATACTGCTACCATTCAAACAAGCAGTGAGTGTGTGAGTATGGTTTTACTCTGCTCTTATCAATATTGCAGCAATATCACAGCTGGGGAAACCAGAAATGGGCTTCACATATTGTACAAGTGTTGGCGTTCATACCTCATCATAACGAGCAAACGCCTTAACCATTAGGGTACCCTACAGCCCCTTGAACATGTTCCAACAAGCAATACTTCAATGCTGTGATGTATAGAAATCAACTTACCTGTACGCAGATTCCACTCAAAGGTAAAGCTGGTTTGATATGACTTCACTGCTCCTTTGCTGAAAACACAAGCATTGACTCTTTGAAGACACCAGATCATCTTGGTCTTACTCACGTGAAACTTCCATCAGCAGACAACCGACAGACAACTAGCTACACGACTGCTTGAAGGGGACTAGACTCAAATCAATAGCAGTAACTAACACTAAACCTGAAAACACTCGATCTGTCTGCAAATGTTGTGCCATCTAGATAAATTGATCCATCAATGATTACAATAATGAGATCAAGAAAATTTCACACAAGGTTCTTAATAAAACAGCTAGGCCAACACTGAAAATGTGCTGCACACTGTTGAGACAAGTGTTTCTTGAAGAGGATTTAACAATGTATAAATAGGCTATCATGGATAAGTATGGTGACTTATAGGTATAGGTATGTGCATCACAGTGGGGACACCTGGAATGGACTTCACTCAATGTTCCCATCACCATGGGGACATCAAGAACAGACTTCACACAATGTTCCCATCACAGTGAGGACAGCAGGAATGGACTTCACTCAATGTTCCCATCACCATGGGGACATCAAGAACAGACTTCACACAATGTTCCCATCACAGTGGGGACACCAAGAACAGACTTCACACAATGTTCCCATCACAGTGGGGACACCAAGAACAGACTTCACACAATGTTCCCATCACAGTGGGGACACCAAGAACAGACTTCACACAATGTTCCCATCACAGTGGGGACACCAAGAACAGACTTCACACAATGTTCCCATCACTGTGGGGACACCAAGAACAGACTTCACACAATGTTCCCATCACAGTGGGTCACCAAGAACAGACTTCACACAATGTTCCCATCACTGTGGGGACACCAAAAACAGACTTCACACAATGTTCCCATCACAGTGGGGACATCAAGAACAGACTTCACACAATGTTCCCATCACAGTGGGGACACCAAGAACAGACTTCACACAATGTTCCCATCACAGTGGGTCACCAAGAACAGATTTCACACAATGTTCCCATCACTGTGGGGACACCAAGAACAGACTTCACACAATGTTCCCATCACAGTGATAAAGCTTTGTCAGAAATCTTAACATGTATCTCACCCTTGAATTCTGAATGTTTGAATTAAGTTTTCAGAATTGAATATGTGGTAAAACCCTTAAATTTGACATGCAAGTCTCTCGAAAACAACTGTTTTTTTAGAACAATATGCAGACATGACGCTTAACTGACCAGGGATGAGAAACACAACTTTATATTTGCATTTCATGAAAAGACTAGGATTGGCAGTGACAACAAGTACATACCTTTGTTTGGTTAGCCTATCTCTGGCCTGGATGAGAGCATGAACTGTGCCAAAGACACGGAAGCTGTCAGGACACACCTGCAACAGACATGTTACTGCTGCACAGATACCTGGCTAGTGTACAACACGCTGGGCGACTGACGCACACTGAAACCCTCCTAATCCAGACACATCCACCCAAAGATTGTCATCATCAAAACGAGGTTCCCAAGCTTAACAGTTTGTCTGGTTTGGTTTGGTTTGGTTTGTTGTTTAACGCCGCACTCACCAATATTCAAGCTATATGACGGCGGTCTGTAAATAATCAAGTCTGGACCAGACAATCCAGTGATTAATATCATGAACATCGACCCACGCAATTGGGATCGATGACATGCATCAACCAAGTCAGCGAGTCTGACCACCCGATCCCTTTAGTCGCCTTTTACGACAAGCATAGTCACCTTTTACGACAAGCATGGGTTGCTAAAGACCTATTCTACCCCGGAATCTTCATGGGTCAACAGTTTGTCAGTTACACAAAAGAAAGTGCCAAGTCAACAATAATGGATATGCACAGACAACTGGAAATACATCCACCAATCTCCTTAGTGAGGTGAGGTGAAATGGGGTTTAACGTCGCATACAAGATTATTGCACTTATGTAGCAACCTGCATGCACGTGTGTGTGTGTGTGTGTTTGTGGCTGCTTGTACTAGTCCAGACTGTTGCCCATTTATAGTGCTAGCACACTGAGATACCATGCCACCATCACAGTGGGGACACTGCCGTTTAACATGAATACCCCACTCAGACACAGTATACTGACTCCGAGCCGACCAGTCCTTGTTTAAGCCCCTTAATGCTGAGCGCCAGACAGGGTAACAACAAGTAGCATCTTTTAACGTCTTTTGGTATGACGCGGCCGAGGATCGAACCCCGGATCTTCCACTCTTCGGTTGGACACTCTACCACTTGACCACGGAGGCGGTCTCAATCTACTTAGTACTAGTACTTACATCGAGTATCTGCAGGTCGTAGTTACAGAAGGCCACGTATCTCGGGCCCCACTCAGCCTCCTGGTGGATCACCTCCACCATGTAGTGCTCGATGTCAAATGTCATCTGAAGCACAGTCACCTACAACACAAACCATGAACATTAATGTCACAAAGATGCTTTTGTAAAGTGGCAAAAAAATCAAAAATATCTTGTCAGTGGCACACATGTTATTTTCAACCAACAAAAAAGAGGTACAAATGCAATGAGATGTTTCAAGTCGAGCTGCATATTACCTGTCATTTAAGCGTGATAACAGCACAATAACCCTGAACTTGAATTGTTTGAAAGGCATTTCTTAAAAGGTGACGAATGACAAAGTAGAGACGACTTATGGCTAACAACTTCTTTATTACACTATTTCTGTATAAATCATTATACCATTGCCAAGGAAGATTGTCAGTCTTGCTTGACAACGGTATAACGCTCTATACCAAAACGTAATAATAGAATATATTAAAGTAGTTGTTATCCATAAATTGTGTCTACTTTGTAACTAGGAACTTTCCCACATTTCAGAGTCAATATTGAAAAAACAGTAACCTTTGCAGAAGAAAATCAAAAAGGCTTTGAAATTTCTAAGTGTATCTATTCACAGATTGTGAATTTCAACTTGCAGCACTAAAACATCCAACATTCTATAAATGACCCGTGAAGATCCGGGGTAGAATAGGTCTTCAGCAACCCATGCTTGCCGTAAAAGGAAACTATGCTTGTTGTAACAGGTGACTAAAGGGATCCGGTAGTCATGTTAATCACTGGATTGTCTGGTCCAGACTCGATTATTTACAGACTGCGTCATATAGCTGGAATATTGCGGTCTAAACAACAAACAAACAATCAAGAAAACAAAGTAGAAATACTTTCGCCATGTTATAAAGTGAGAGGCACATTTGATCCTCAATTTTCCCTCCAAAGAGGTCACACACGTTATACTACTCATAAGAAGTTAAAGAACACCAAAAGTTTTCATATGACTATAGATCATGTTTGGTGCGTAGTGTAATACACAGTGGGTGTTCTTTAACTTGTTTTGAGTAGTATATTGCACGAAACACCATATCACAGCACGCCACAGTGGAAAAGTAACACTATCTTGGTTCAAACAAACAACAACGAGGTACCAGTGACCTTTGTCAGTGTGTTGTCGTGGACTTACCGCAGGGTTCTCTGGCATCATGGACCTGATGATGGAGAGCTGCTTGCTGTCACACCACAGCACTTCCACTGGAAGCACACTGCGGTACGCCAGGTCGTAGTCATCTGACACACAGAACCTCACAATAATCATCATCATGAGCTTGTAACACACATAAAATACATGCTGGACAAACTTTAGGGATCATGAATGTTGGGGGGGCATGTTTTTATGAAATTGTGTGCTCAGCATGCTCAGTCCTCACCATCAAAAATATCCAAAAAAATATTCATGATCACTAACTTGCCAGGGTTAGAAACTAACAGTTTTTGTCCACTAGTCCTTACAATGATAACATGTAGCAAAACCCTTAAAATGGGCCAATTTCTACTAGTCCTTAGGATACCTTTACTATTGGGCAGTTTGGTAAGGACTACAGGACTAGTGCCAATTTCTAACACTGCAATTGCTAAATCGAAAAGGCGCAGTTAAAAAAACCTACCTAATGCTAGAAGGGCAGCATTAGACTTTGTGATAATGTATGTCATACGAAGTCACTGATAAAAGTTCTTGTGGACAGTATGATTCATAAAATAAACCTGAGAAATCAGAAATTTAATAGGCTGCTACCAATCCGAATGAAAAGGAGGAGGCAAGCTTTCTAAATTACAACCACTTATGTATCTAGCTCTTTGTGAGTGAGTGAGTTTGGTTTTACGTCGTGTTTAGCAATATTCCAGCAATATCACGGCGGGGGACACCAGAAATGGGCTTCACACATTGTACCCATATGGGGATTTGAACCCGGGTCTTCGGCATGACGAGCGAACGCTTTAACCACTAGGCTACCCAACCGCCCCTAGCTCTTTGTGAAATGACATTCACCGTGTTCAAAGATGGATCACAAGTATTCTCCTTATTGGCACATGTATTTCTAAAGGGCACATGTATTTCCAAAGGGCACAGCTAAATATCTGTGTCAGTGCCCTATTATATGGCACACTGGAAATCAAATTCATTTCTATCCCTGTACATGAATGCTTGTATCATAAATGAGAACTAGAACATGTTAAGTCTGAACAATGCTGACTGTGCCCTAGACCATGTAGACCATGTAAACATTTGACTCAGTAGAACATCCTAAATTTGAGTATCTCCCCAAGGCAAGGGAGTTACCTGACTTTAAAAGTCCAGTTTCCACTCTTGCCAAACTAGTCAGAAATTCCAGAGTTAATTTTTGCTGGACTAATGAGTCTAAGCACAGTCCAATCAAAATCCTGTAATGAGTGAGTGAGTGAGTGAGTATGGTTTTACGCCACTTTTAGCAATATTCCAGCAATATCACGGTGGGGGACACCAGAAATGGTTTTTCACACATTGAACCCATGTCGGGAATCGAACCCGGGTCTTCGGCGTGACGAGCGAACGCTTTAACCACTTGGCTATCTGACCGCCCCAAATCCTGTAATGACATCAACATCCTGTTCATAAATAACATTGTGACTGCTGTGCTGAATTCATTCGATTGGAGGGTTTGCAGAGCATGTGCACCATGGTGCACCCTCAACTGGGCGTCGACAAAACTTTTCCCAATATTTTCATTTTTTTTTATAAAGGTGATTTTATCAGGTGATTTAAAGTGAGGTAAAACCTGTTCTCTTTTCAATAAAGATCGTAATTATCGAATTATCTGAATAGCAGGTCTCAAATTGTAAAAGTATAAGTGCATAAAACAAACTGACAAAAACGCCATCAAAACCTTAAACTCAACAATGGTAAGGTGAGGTGAAATGGGGTTTAACCTCGCATTCAAGATTGTTGTACTTATTTAAATTAGAGACGTGCATGCACGTGTGTGTACATGTGTGTAGCTGATTGTACTAGTCCGGACTATTGCCAATTTTATAATGCTAGCCCACTGAGATACCATGCCACAGTTTAACATGATTACCCCACCCAGACACAGTATACTGACTCCAAGCCGACCACTCCTTGTTTTGCACAAGGCAAGGTAACAACAAGTCCCATCTTTTAACGTTTTCGTTGGTATGAAGCGGCAGAGGATCAAACCCCCGACCTTCCACTGTCCGGGCGGATGCTCTACCACTTGACCATGACCTAGACCTTTGACAGACATGCTACTGACCCTTGACATGTTTGGTAGGAATAAGATTTATAAAAACATGTAGACATTAAGTTGGTTAAGACATAGAAACTGACATAATAAGCATGCCCTATGATAAACTGAACAGTGTCTTTGACCTTCGATTGTTCCTGACCAAAACCTTTTCAGAGCTGGGCTAAATCATAGGAGAGAAAAATTTGAGAATGCGTAAACACAATAAAATAAATTAACTACTGTACCTTCAGCTGGCAATGGTGACTCAGACGAGTCTTCAGTTGTGTACCCGTACTTTCGAAGTGAGAATGTAACAGTCCGAGAATGATTTGTATGTACAACCACACTTTCAGAGCTCTTGGATGAGCCTGTCGTGCTTGCTCCGCTATTGCTGGGCGAGAAAAACGATCGTTGGGAAGACAACTTGGATGTTGAGCAATTATTTACAATATCGTCCAAGTCATGCAGGTTGGCACTGCTGCAGCCAGCTCTCATGGGCTGCTCGGGGCTGTGGCACTTAGTATCAGTAAATGGACTATATGAGTGGGAGCACTGGTTCCCGGGGGAACCCACGGGGCAGGTCAGCTTGCCACATGCCCCCATGGGTTTCATACAATCAGAATGTTGACTATTGCTCTCGCCAGTACAATTTTTAGCTTTAAGAGCGGGACGGTAACTTGGTCCATGGCGTGTTTCCTTAGGGATGTGACGACAATGTTCACAGTTTTTAGTTGACTTGCACTCGGAACATTCGAGATCAGAACCCTCAAGCTCAGGAGAATGCACATTTTCCTCATCATCGTCGGCAGTGATTTCCTGCATGCCCTCCAGGAATTCGTTGACTCTGCCTATTCCTCCTGTATGGTCATGACACAGGGGGCTGTTGCTATCCTCTATGGTAAAAATAGATGTCCGAGTTTCTAAAATAGAGAGTTCAGCACCAATATAGGAGTTGTCATGTAAGTCACTTTGCATATGTTCAGTGTTTGAGGTTGTTTCCCCTAGAAGGGTATCGTCTGTTTGATTAAAGCTACTTGGTGAGTGAGTTGCATCCACCTGGAGGGCTACTATTGAGTCGCCGGTGTTGAGGATGGCGATGCCATCTATCTTAAGTTGCACTCTTGGTGAGAAGGCAGGGAACGGAGGTGCAAGTTCATACTTCGTATGAAGACAGAAGCTGTGCTGAAGACAGGTGCCAGGGTTACCTGAGGACTCTGAAATATTACAAACACCAATAACATAATTTTATGGAACCTAATTACTGAAATATTCTCAATATTCATTGTACTTCTCTTGATATACTACACCATCATAGTTTGGACAATTCACTCAGACACTTAGGTACAGAGGATAAGAGCATAACATTCTTCCACCATTCATGTTGAAGTTCCTATAACCAAGAAGATGTTTGTGGATCAGTGGCAATGAGACTTTCAAAGAGTTAAATTGATCCAGGGATAACACTTGCCTGAAATCAGTCTACAATAATCTTTCAAACGTTAATGCTATGCTTCAAGTAAGTAGAAAATTATAAAAGCTGAGGTTTTTCCCATCGGACCCCTAATTTCAAAGTTTTGAGACTAAGAACAGAGAGTGAGTGAGTACTGTTTTACTCCGCTTTTAGCAATATTCCAGCAATATCACTGCAGGGGACACCAGAAATGGGCTTCACACATCGAACCCAGGTCTTCAGCGTTGCGAGCAAACGCTTTAACCACTAGGCTACCCGACCACCTCTAAGGACAGAGGATTGTTGAACACTATAACATTTGCCAACAGCAATCCAGACTACATGGACTAATTCGAGCTTATCTCTAAGCATTACTTCCTGTATATTTTAGTGATAAAACATGAATAAGTATTAATTTGGCTTAAGACCGACAAAGACATTTTACATCCAACAAATAATTTGACTGAAAGCATTTACGTGCAGAGAGCTGTTTTATTTTAATGTTCGATATTGAGTCCGAAAGTCAAGGGTCCTTCTCATAACCCCAAAGTTGAAAACTGTTAAAACTTGCAGTGTAAAATTGTAGTAACAGGACAAAAGCAATAAATTTTTAAAAACTCATCAAAGATATTACAATGGCTATGCTAAACATGCTGAATTCGTTTACACAGATTATATTTTGCAGAAGTCTTTTAGAGTTTCATGTCACTGTAAGAAATCTTGCAAAGTGTTTCACATATTGTTCACCCTAATCAATATGCATTCGGAGTCTCACACATGCAGAGTTTGAAACTAAGGGGATCACATTAGGATCATGACAAGGACTTTCATGCTTAACACAGCCCTTGTTAACATTTATTTGACCCATATGATGAAGCTTTACTGAAGATGTCAACCACAAGTCAATCAAATGAAAACCTTGAGGTTTTTCAAAGTTGTATCACAGCAATACGACTACCCAGAGTGAGCGAGTAGGTTTTTACACCACTTTTGCAATATTCCAGCAATATCACAGCAGGGGACACCAGAAGTGGGCTTCACACATTGTACCCATTTCAGGAATCGAACCCAGGTCTTCGGCGTGACGAGCAAACGCTTTAACCACTAGGCTACCTGACCGCCCCCAACTACCCAGATGTAAAGACTACACTTTCAACTTTCCTCCATGACACTTCCTCTTAAACATTGTTAAAGTTCCTGAAATACAGAACTATTCATCAAAAGAATAACTACAACAATAGTTATACAGACAAGCTACAATCATGATAATTGTGATCACAAAAAGTCCAAATATATCTTACCTTTCTTGAGTAGACGACATTCTTGACATCGTTTGAGCGACGGCACAGCAGTAACTGTCAGGTAACACTGACAGCTGTCGTCCCCTCGACCAGGTACACTGAAACAGCATGTTTTGTCGCAAATCTACACAATCTCCTTTCTCTCCACGCTTCTATCAAGCATGAGTCAAAGAGTAACTCTCACAATCAGAATTGCTGTGTGGTCCAAATAGCTTGTTGCAAGGAGGTGAGGTGAGGTGAGGTGAGGTGAGGTGAAATAGGGTTTAACGTCGCGTCCAAGATTATTGCACTTATATAGCGACGTGCATGTACGTGTGTGTGGCTGCTTGTACTAGTCCTGACTCATGCCGATTTATAGTGCTAGCTCACTGAGATACCATGCCGCAGTTTAACATGAATTCCCCACTCAGACACAGTATACTGACTCCGAGCCGACCAGTCCTTGTTTTAGCCCCTTAATGCCAGACAGGGTAACGACAAGTACCATCTTTTAACGTCTAATGGTATGACGCGGCCAGGGATTGAACCCCGGACCTTCCGCTCTCCAGGCAGAGGCTCTACCACTAGACCACAGAGGCTGTCGTTGCAAGGAGGTACATGGGCAGGGTGCTTACAGGGAGTGTTCACTGAGGATATAGTCTCTATCATGCACACCAAGTAATACTACGGGCAAAATGTTTATGTCCACAAGCACAGGCAATCCATCATTATATATTTAAGAAGAAAAAGCACCTCGTGATGAGAATATTTTTCACACACAATAAACTGAAACATTTCTAATCACTGCCTCATCTACTTTTAAAACATTTTTCGACTCAATGGTGCAGCGCATGTAACACATGCCTTTTCCCTATGTTGAGAACTCACCAATGGCCGTACACAAGAACCTTTGTGTCATCTTCTGGCCACTCACAAAATGCAAGGAACAGATCTTGGACTATATCTTCTTCCCCAAACAACCGTACTTCAGACACCTACACAAAAACAACATCAATAGTAATTGCCCTATGTAGACATGGCTATGGCAGAACAGTTCTGAAATAATTCTCCTCTCTAAACTTAAACACAAGAGAATGCCTGTGAATTGACATGGTTGAGGATGTAACTCCTATTTTAAAAATTAATTCCCTTCTTACAGTGTCAGTACTGTCGCTTAGAACATGTCGATTTAAACGTGCTAAGGAAAGAGATTTATTTCATTTATTTCTCATGAAGGAAAGAGTGAGTGAGTATGGTTTTACGCCGCTTTTAGCAATATTCCAGCAATATCACGGCGGGGGACACCAGAAATGGGCTTCACACATTGTACCCATGTCGGGAATCGAAGCCGGGTCTTCGGCGTGACGAGCGAACGCTTTAACCACTAGGCTACCCGACCGCCCCCATGAAGGAAAGAGTAGAATTTACTCACACAAAATTTAATTTCTAAGAATAGTGTCCACAATGGTCTATGCTGTAAATGTTATTGTCACTAAAAGCACCCACTGAATTTCATTATTTTATATCAGATGTTTGACTCCTCTCTGCAAGAAGATCTGAAGGCACCGCCATAGGAGGTTGCATTAGGTGCAGTTTCTATCAATCACTGTAAACGCTTCTAAATTCTCAGTACGAGTGAGCAAAGCATTTAAACCACCACATTTGATTTCTGATCTCAAGGAGCAAAGACAGATACCGTATTGAATGTAATAAGGCGCTCTCAAAATTAGAAATAGGGGGCTCTTATTAGAATATAATTTTGGTGGGATAAAAAGCAGAGTTGAAAGATTGTAAATTTTGTGGTTTATGCTGACAGCATGAAATGATATTGAAGAAGATTCTGTGCGTACTAAATACAATAAATATATTAATAGATATAATTAAGGGTGCATATAACACACGAGTGTGTATTATACCCGAATAAATAAGTCTTGTGTAAATTGAGCAATCGGAAAGGGTGCTAATTGGGATTGTTCCCAATATATTAGCAAATATCGCCATGGGCGCTTATTAGAGCAGGGCGCTTATAACGTCAAATACGGTAAGTTCCCAAAGTGGAAGGTATAAGAGCGCCATAATGTAGTTGTTGATATTTCACACACCCTGTAACTTCTGATCGCCAACACCGGCATCCCCACCCACAAGGGAGAACCATCAAAAGAATATTTGTGTTCTTTGTGCGTTTCCATTGGTACAAAAATGAAGATCAGTCTCCTTCTAGAAGGGACGTTAAAGTTTGGTCAGGGTTTACCTGACATGACCACCAATTGGAGAATCCTTCAGTCTTCAAGCAGAGAAGTATCATATCAGAGTAAAAGATCTGACTTTTATGAGATTGTAAAAATACCATAATATGTCTTGCACAGAACCGAACATATTTCAATTTTAATCCCTGGATTTACAAGCTTGCATACACTCTATATGAGATGAAAAAAATAATAAAAACTCTTCAGCAACATGTCTTTCTGAAAGCTTAGGTAAGACAAAATGTTACTTTCTCGGGAAGGATAAGATCATTTAACATTGTCCAAAATAAAGCATGAAAATCAAGGGGTACAGTAATTGTGAGAATCCCATGCTAAAAAAAGAATGAATTTGAGATCCCTTTGATTAACATCCTACAGCAGAACACCTCAAGGTCTGCATAACATTTCTGTCTTTGAGCTGGCAAGTGTGACAGCTCACCAGTTCTAGCGGCCTCTCCGGGACAAACCTCCACCAGTGCAGCCTATAGACGTAGACAGGGTAGGCTGTGTGTTCATCAGCATCCACATGAAGGGAGTAGGACAACACAAACTGACCTGACTTGGTAAAACCTAGGAACACATGTCTGCAAACAAGGAGAAAAAACACAGTGAGCAATATTACACCTAGATAATCTGAAAGCAATCAGGCCTGGTGCCATTAAACAGACAACTTCAGCGCTATGACTGTCGTAAGTCTATGTTACGGTATGGGAGTTTCGATCACCTTAGTGCTAAGATCACTTTGGATAATGGTACCCAGAACCCGGCCAATCCCGCTATTCTCCTTTCACTACAAGCATTTCGTTGCTGAAGACGAATTCTAACCCGGACCTTCACGGGTTTGTGGTCAATAGTATAAGGAATAATAAGACCAATGGGTCCTATATATTACAAGGTCGCCATGGTCACAGGAGAGAGTCTTCTTTTGCCTACAGTAACTGATAATCTACAATAAATGTCCTCATCATGAAATGTGTATCACCCTATCTGCTACATATACATGATGAATCAATGACAATTTTTATCAATCCAACCGATTCACTTGAGCATGTTAAGTGGATTAAATTTACTTCTATCACAGTCAGGGTCCATACAAAGCTTCAGTCACCAAATTTAGGCCTTTTCAAAGCCCTCGCACACAGATCTAAGGCCCTTATAATGAAAAATGCAACATACTTTCAACAGATTTAATGACCTAAAACGGAACAGAACTTGATAATCCTTGAACCAATTAGATTCAACAAACAAAGATAAATGTTTATCAATATTTCACATTCTAAGCAGTCAAGCAGGTAACAATGTATTTTCGCAAATGCCAAAGAATGAACTATCAAAAACTGATGAAATCATGAAAATATTCTGGAATGTCTGTAAAGGTTTTTTCTCTAAGCAAAATCACTGCTACCTTGATAGTAACATTAAGCTCCATGAAAGCTCCAGGCTTCAATCACACAACACTGTACATACCCTTCTTCCAGGACAAACTGGGGGACAAGAGACTTGAGGCGATAGCAAAGTCGGCCAGGAATTTTGGTGAAAGGTTTCCATGATAATGATTTCTTCTTTACTTTTAATTTACCAGTTTGCTGAAAGATAAACACACATGGTCAGTTAAAAAGTACCAACGATTTAAAATCAGCATGATTAAGCAACACCTGATAATGACTTTCCATGACAGTGTAGCAGGGCGTGGAGTCATCCCACAGCTGACATCCTTACCTTGTCAGCTTGCTGACGGGGTTAACCTCTTTGGTCATGTGGACAAGGCGTCCGACCTCAGATCAGAAGGTCCGTGGTTTGAATCCCATCACGGTACTCAGAAATTTTATGGCCGCGACATTGGCGCCCAAAGTGGGGCTGAGCACGTTGATATTAAATTTGAGCAAGATAAGCCTCAGTACCCTACTATGCGGCCCGGGATGTGCCTTCTGTTGACGGAGGAGTATGTAGCAGGGCGTGGAGTCATCCCACAGATGACATCCTTACTTTGTCAGCTTGCTGACAGGGGTAAACCTCTTTGGTCATGTGGACCTCGGATCAGAAGGTCTGTGGTTCGAATCCCATCACGGTACTCGGAAATTTTATGGCCGCGACAATAGCATGAAACCTCTATGTTAGATGACATGCAGTAAACCAAGTAACTGAGTCTGACCACCCAATCCAATACAGTTCACAAACCTCCACATGTTTTATAACAATGGTGCAAAACTGAAAGTAGATGACACAAATGTGCTCCAAAGTTTGATACCTCCATCATATGAATATTCGGATACTGTCACCTTGTTCATACTGAGTCTTTGATTGGAAAGGCGAGGATGAAAACTCATTACTGATGACAAGTTCTTTATCATAAGAAACGATTACATTAGCGGCACCCTTATTATTCATGGTTGGTTTATTCCCCTCCAATGTTAGAAATCAAGGGGGGCCATTCGTTCGTTGAGGTTTTCTGCTTTAGTATTTTTTATCAAGGACTTCCTTTGATGTTGATTTATCACATTAGGATAATAGCAAGGGCCCCTTGACTTTCATGCTCAATTTCGAATCTATTATCTATCAAATAAAATTCATACAATCATGGCAAGGGCCTGAAGTAGATCTCTAAATAATTATGAATGAGGCAACTAGTTACCAGGAATTTCAGAGGGAAAAGTAATCAGAATGGTCATGTCTTCCACTGAAACTTACCGATGTAGAGGAATTCAAATAATACATGTAATAATCAGGTTTCTACTTTGACCTACAAAAATAGGGGCCCAGGGGACCCTAAATAACAAATAGGACATGTGTCTCGATTTTGAAGTCAAGATACAATATGTATCTCGATACAGCAATACCAACCTTTTATGTATAAATTTAGAAGCAAATGTTATAATTACATATCACATTCGGAAATGTTTGTGTTCTAATCACTATCAGTAGATTATTTTGTAAAATAATAATACTTAGAAAAGGTTGATTCTGTTTATTCAAACAAGCGTCAGACACTAACAAGTTTTCGTATGTGTCAAATTCAGAAAATATGATGACATTTCGACTCGAAAAGAAAAATCAATCAATACGCGAACAAATGGATACCGATTTCAATAAAATTTCGTATTGATAGAAATTTACATCTATCTCATGTCATATCATGAGAATTATCTACCGATGCATCGGTACAACTGGTGAAACATGACATCCCTAGAAAATAATGTAAAAGTTCATTTCTACTAGCCTGCTAGTTGACACTACATTCTTACAACACTGAATGTATGTTACCATAACAAAATTACGTCACCACAGGCTTAGGATAATGAGTATTCGTTAAGCTGGGTTTTGTTAACATCCCAAGTCTTTTCTTACAATTAATTTCTCTATTCATCTTGGTCTTACAATACAAAGTTCTAATGAAAGGAATTTCAATCTTAACAGCCTGGATGTGAACTTAACCAGGTAATACACGCTACTTAGGACTATATAATTTATAATATTCGTTTGAGTTTTATTGGAGGTCAAGAGATTGTAATTAGGGTCTTTTGTTCAACTAAGACATGGAATTAGCATAATCCTCATTGTTTTATTGATACAGAAGGGAAAAGTATTTGTTTGAATTATAAAAATCAACAATGAATATCCAGTGGATAACTTAGACTGTGAAAATAGGAGTCGTCATGACTCATTGCATTCTTTTTGAGTCACGATTACATGAAAATGATGAGTCATGAGTATTTGTGTACAAGATATTTTCGACAAGGAATAAGTCATGATAAGTTAGTCAACGTGGTTAACATCCCAAACATTCTGTTTATTGAAACATGTTAGAGTGAAAATAGAAACAATTTCTGTTACTACAGTCTTTTGTTTTTTGACCCGTGAAGATCCGGGATAAAATAGGTCTTCAGTAACAAGTGCTTGCCGTAAAAGCCGACTATGCTTGTCATAAAAGGCGACCAACAGGATCGGGTGGCCAGGCTCGCTGAATTGGTTGATGCATGTGGATCGATGCTCATGATGTCAATCACTGGATTGTCTGGTCCAGACTTGATTATTTACAGACTGCCGTCATATAGCTGGAATATTGCTGAATGTGGTGTAAAACAACAAACAAACTTTTGGTCTTATTGGTACAAGTTCTGACTGATAAAAATTTGTTGTACCAAACATGACTTACTGAAAGTATCAATAACAGCATTTGAAATTAAGGTAGTTCATGGTGTCCTTGAGCCTTGCCCTTATATTGGGAGTAGGGACTACCTAAATCTTTATCCTTTTAACCAGGGTTAGAAACTAACAGTTTTTGTCCACTAGCCCTTATAATGATAACATATAGTAAAATCCTTAAAAAGGGCAAATTTCTACTAGTCCTTATGATACCTTTACCATTGGGCAGTTTGGCAAGGACTATAGGACTAGTGCCAATTTCTAACGCTGGTTTAACACAAGAGTTAGGATGTTTAAGACAAGTACCCCTTGACTCGCATTCAACACACATTAGGTGTAATTTGGATGAAAATTGCGTCAATAACAAATGGGTTCCTGCATCATGTGAAACTATCTTTGACATATCCCCACATCACATGTTATCGAGCCTCACCTCTTTTCCAAGGGCCTAAACAAACTTACATTTTCACTAATGCACATTTTAATAAAACTTGATCTTATGGTAAGTTTGCATCAGAACAATCGTTTGCGACGACGATGTATCAGCTGCTGTTTCCAAACTTCCTGTCGTTAATGGCATAGGACCAACCATGTTGTGCATCCATTTTTAATAAAGAGGCTCGAAATTATGTGACGGTTAAAAGATGGCGCCTTATTGACTTGTCTCGCTCAGCAAGGCATTATCATCATGATCATTATAAAATAACAAGACATGGTAATTTGACCATCCAAGTATAAACAGAAATAAATGTTCTCAAAAGTAAGACTTAAGTTTAGTGTATTGGGATTGTTATTCGACATGTAATCAGAAATACTTCTTAGGGGCTTGAAAACCCATAACATGAGGATACACTTATACCCATGGATGAGGAGACATTTATAAGCATGGTAAGTTTATAGCTATTAGAGGCACAAGATATGTGAATTTCAACGTTTGTGTTCTCTCTATATAACATTTCAAGGCTACTTTTGGCCCCATCATCAGTGAATTAAGAGGTAAACTGCTCCAAACTTTCTGCGATTTCAAAATGATCCGAGAACATAGGTGCCGATGTAAATATTCTTAAACAATACAGTCAAAGCTTACAACAATCATTATGGTGTTGAATCTATTCTATTAAAATATTCGACTTTACCATTACGTCTGAAAAAAAATAATGATCACGATAGAGATTAAAGCGACAAAAAAAACAAGCATGTTCAGAAAAGAGAGGAAAAACACCAATCAAAGTGAATAGAAACATAAAGGTGATAAAGCAACCTCAAAGACAGGTCTGCCATTTGTTTTAAATATCCTATCTAAAACATCCATATACAAAACTGCCAACTTCCGAAACAGTATCACCAAAAGGGAATGAAATGACAGACAATCGAACCAGAAGTGTCAATAATGACATTTTGTTATTGACAACAAACAGAAAGCTCTCAATTTCAATTCTTTGGCAAATTAAACATCTGTCAGATTAAGTCAACTACTATCATTAAGATGCTATGTCGCATGTGTGGCTTATGTCAAACTATGAACCTCCCATTAAAGTTGACACAAACTTTGACAATCTAACGCCCTCACGAATTTAGGTGACTATATCGAAAAACAATAGGGTAGTCGATTCTTCAGGTCGGAAGTCTTATCGTGATGTGGACTTGAGCAGAATCGGTGGCATTATTCTAAAATGTAAAAAGGTACATTCGTCCTTGAAATTTGTGTCACATCACTTTATCGATTCCTTACCTCTCGAACCGCCAGTTTGTGAACAAGACTGGCCGCCATTTGTTTCAAACATTGCACGCGATCAATGTGGATGCATGTGGGGCGCGCACCTGATTGGATCTTACTGGTTATCTCCCCTTTATCTTCACCACCTCCGCTGTTAAGAAAATTGATTTTTAGGTGGGATGGTATTAATTTATTTGTTCATGTTGTGAATGTCATATGTTTCACACACACACAAATTATAAAAAATAAAAGCGTTAATTGTTTTCAATACTTAATCTAATTTGATCACATCTATTCATTTTATTTCCGAATTTAAATTAACATTGTATAAACGATATGTCTTGAAAAAGACATTTCTGAAAATACTTTCATATGGCACGATTAAAACAAAATTCACTGGCACATTATGATACTAAATGCCAACGTCTAAACTTTAGTGTTTTCATACTGCAGCTAACAGTTACACGTAATGTGCATTGCTCACGTGTGTGTGTCTGTGGCTGCTTGTACTAGTCCGGACTGATGCCGATTTATAGTGCTAGCTCACTGAGATACGATGCCGCAGTTTAACATGAATACCCCAATCAGACACAGTAAACTGACTCCGAGCCGACCAGTCCTTGTTTTAGTCCCTTAAGGCCGAGCGCCAGACAGGGTAACAACAAGTTCCATATTTTAACGTGGCCGACGCTCTACCACAACACCACGGCTGAACAAAGGAAAGTGACAAGTCATCTAGAAACCGTATGTGTAACAAATAACTTGTTAACTACATGTTGTTCATCATTATAACACTGAAATGAAACTTCACAGTTTGTGACACGTTTTCCTTGCAATCTCCATGTACATGCATCAAATGAATACTGATATGAATTTCATTTTACGGTCTCTGATAAACGTTATGTTTGTTTTTAATATTATACGCCTACAGATAGATGAAAAAATCAAGCTCTGGAATTCAGAAAAGAGGTGTAGATTAATTTCAGTCACATCCACTCAATCAGAAATATTAACACGACGGAATAGACGGTTCTATCAAACTATTGCAATTCGGGTTATTTCAGCAAATGACATCCGACCAGTGTCCACATTTCCCGAGAAATCGAAAAATCGACGACTAAGGTGCTGACAAACCAAGGTACATCATCGGTTCCATTCATTCGTTTTTCGAAGCCACGGCCACTGGATCCCGGTACGACTAAGGGGCGCAACTCCGGAAAGCGAACTGCGGCTCTTCATACTTTTGTGTCGACCGTACGGAGAGTGCATACTTACCTAGCTATACAGGGAATGCTCATGTACTTTGACTTCAGTAGTTCCTCCTGAGATTGTGTAACGTCAAGGTCACGACAGAACAGGCGTTTCTGATATCTTTAAATCTCCGTAAATATAGGACGAGGTTGGAACGATGTCCTTAAAAAGTGGTAGTTGTACTTCACTGTGCCAACGTTGCCATTGTCCCTTGTGGTACATTGACTTGGTTTAATGGATCCATGATATGTCTTATCTTTACCGTTACTTACCAACTTCTAAAAATGACAACTGAACAGTTGATTTTGGTTGTTTATATAAACTTTACATCGATAACAAACTATACTGAAGATAAACAGAGGGACATCATGAGTTTCTTTAAATGTGTACTGTATATAAAATATTTCATGATCATTAACTTGTCTTGTTCCGTATATACGAGAACCCGCTTAACCCTGTTGAGTATATCACTATTCAATAGTAAATATAAAATAGTTTTGTTACCTATCGCAATACAGTGACATTAGTGAGAGGATCCCAAGTCCCTGTATATATGCATGATTGCACATACATTCCTTGATAGCACCACGATATATTTGAATATTGATACCTATACAATTTTTTCCAGGAAACAGTCACACGTTACCTGTTAGATTTATACATGCAAAATATCGATGGAGTAAGTGATTATGGTTTTACGCCGCTTTTTGGAATATTCTAGCAATATCACCCTGGGAATCGAACCCTGGTCTTCGGTGTGACGAACGAACGCTTTAACCACTAGGCTACCCGACCGCCCCGCATATCATCCACTGTCTCCTTGTCTTGTCTCCTTGTTAGCGCTGAAGGGGTCGTTGTCGGCGGCACGAGTACTACATATATGTACCCAAGATACGTTTGAGTATACAGAAATGTACCCTAGTTAAAATCAGAAAACAAAACTGTACCCAGACCAGTACCCTAAACGACGGACGGGTCAATTCTCCTCAACCCGAAACCGGGGCGGTCGGGTAGCCTAGTGGTTAAAGCGTTCGCTCGTTACGTCGAAGACCCGGTTCGATTCCCGACATGGGTACAATGTGTGAAGCCTGTTTCCGGTGTCCCCCGCCGTGATATTGCTGGAATATTGCTAAAATTGGCGTAAAAACTAACTCACTCACTCACTCAACCCGAAACCGAAACCGGTTCATGTTGTAGTTCCGGTACGCCAGATTACGAGTGCATGTGGGATACATTCGTGACCAACTCGTCCCATTCCGTGACAAGCCGAATGTAGCCTTGTTGAAGGTTACGGGAACATGCGAGTGGTGACGAATGTGTGGGATAATGCTGTGCATCACGGGATATAAGAGTACTGTACAAACGTCACTGTGTATTCTCGCTTATAATTTTATATGGCAGGTTCGAATACATCTGCGGAATGCGGAATGGACTCATCCTTGGCAAAGACCATGAACTAATTTATTTTATGGTTGCTGTCCTAGGGCACCGTTCTGTATTCTGATTTTGGCTATAGGGTACTTTTCTATATTCAGAAACGTACCTGGGACACATCTCTGTCTTGCCCGTGTGACAACAGCCCCTTCAGCACGAGTAGAGGGAATTATGAGCATAGGCTTGCTAAGTATTTTATGATATTCATGTTAGCTCAAGGGAAATTTAGATTTATCTTTATAGTATCCCCCAAAATACGTAGGATTAAACTGATATATTAAGATGACATAAAACTGAATTATATTTGCTGTTAACATATCACAATTTGCTAAATTGTTTTAAAATGTTTAAAGCCACAACAAGGATACTCATTCTCAAATGCGAGACTCAATACATCTTCCCGAGGCAAGGGCGTTAACTGATAAGTACAGTCCAGTTTCCACTGGAAAATAGACTTGTATAGTTAGGTAACGCCCTTGCCTCGGGAAGATGGACATAATACAGCTGGACAGAGGGATCCTTCCCTTCGCTCATCAGATAACAGTAACTATATGGCTTATTGTGGCGACAGGCTTAGCACGGATGGTTGGAAAACTGCAGGGGCCCGAGGGCAGTAGTGAGTGAGTGAGTAAGTTTGGTTTAACGCCGCTTTTAACAGTATTCCAGTTATATCACGGCGTGTCAGCTTAATGTGGGAGGAAAGCCCGAAGTGATGCAGGTCTTAGACGTTTACCACTTTGGTGAAACCCACGAGCACGGGTATGGTGCTGACAAACCTAGAAACATAATCAGGGCGAACCGGGATTCGAACCCACAATCATAGGTTTCTGGCGTGCCCAAGGGACGCAACTCTGCACAGCGAATCGCGGCGCCTTAGTCGACTGGGCCACACGATCCCGTTAGTCGCCTCTTACCAACAAGCATGGGTTGTCGGCGATCAATAATTTTAACCCAGATATATATATGATCCCGTGCAGGTGTTGCACTCTTGGGATAGTAACTATAGCTACAGGCGGCCTAAATAAACACCCTACTACAATGTCATACTGTACAAATACTCTTGAAGCGTCTGGTTAATGTTGTTAAAGGCAGCCATTGATCGCTAATTCAAAGCCCGTCATATTCTAAAACACATGCTTACAGAATGGTGCTGGTTTCTGTGTACACTATATATGTGCTTACCTACAGCTATAACACTAGTGTCATGGGCTAAAAGGGAATCTCAATATACTTAGGTCACATGTTTATTTAGATCTTCAAGCCTTTGGGTATCGCTTGATGTTTTCCTTTAAGTTGAAATACAGTAATGGAACATTTATAATGTACAAGATCGCAAACAGGATGTCTTATATATAATTCCATTTACTGATGAAAGCCTAAACATAAACTATACTTGACTGTTATTCTCACTACATATGAATGACACTCAAACATTTGTAAAGTTTAGCTGTCTCCCAGACCAAAACATTTCACTTTTTTATTAGAAAGGGAATACAAGGAATATATATTTGTATTATGATCACTGATGAGCCACAAAACTGAATATCAAATATATTTTAATATGGGTTCAGAAAATAGACTGCTTTACCATAAATGGATATTGATTCAAAGCCACTAACACACATTAGGTATATAAGAAGCAAGATGGAACGCCTTTTCATCGTGTACAACTAGACATTTCATTGACCTGAGTTGTCTTCGACCCGACTTGATAGTGTACAGACTTCCCTGTTACAGGGGGAATGTTGCTGGCACCAGCGTTATGCAACATTCACCCTCACTCACTTCCATATGGTTGGGGGCGGTCGGGTAGCCTAGTGGTTAAGACCCGGGTTCGATTCCCGACATGGGTACAATGTGTGAAGCCCATTTCTGGTGTCCCCCGCCGTGATATTGCTGGAATATTGCTAAAAGCGGCGTAAAACCATACTCACTCACTCACTCCATATGGTTGGTTGGTTGGTTTATTGTTTAACGCCGCACTCAGCAATATTCCAGCTATATGACGGCGGTCTGTGAATAATCGAGTCTGGACCAGACAATCCAGTGTTTGATATCATGAGCATCGATCCACGCAATTGGGATCGATGACATGCATCAACCAAGTCAGCGAGCCTGACCACCCGATCCTGTTAGTCGCCTTTTGCGACAAGCATAGTCACCTTTTACGGCAAGCATGGGTTGCTGAAGACCTATTCTACCCCGGAATCCACTTCCATATGATTTTACACTAGCGTTTTATTATCCCTGGATTCATTACATCGCTATGCAGAGTGACAGAAACATGTGACCGTGGGTTTGAACCCAGGTGTGCCCGTATTGTGTTTTTTGTTCAGGTTTGTCAGCACCATGTCCTTGCCCCTGGGTTTCACCGAAGTAGTAAACATGGGGGACCTGCATCACTAGTAGTTCCATC